ACACTCTGCACACTCCTAAATCAGGGAAGGAGGAGGGGGAGGACATGCTCCAGGCACCAGAGCAGAGATGTCACTGCAGCCTGTGGTGAAGAACACTGAGAGGAAGGCTGTCCACCTACAGCCCATGAAAGACCGTGGTGGAGAAAATATGAGTGTGAAGAATCCTTCCCTGAGGAAAAAGCAGTAGAGACAACATTTGATGAACTGAACAAAACCTCCATTCCTCATCCCTCTGTGTTCTTCAGAGACAGGAGGTTGAGAAAATGGGAGTGAAGTTGAGCCCAGAAAGAAGGGAGGAGTGGGAAGAAGGTGCTTTAAGAATTTAGTTTATTTTCAGTTACCCTATTCTGATTTGGTTGGTAATAAATTAATTCCTTTTCCTCATGATGGTAATGGCTAAGTGATCTCTCCCTGTCCCTATCTTGACTCACAAGCTTTTTGTTGTATTTTCTACTCCCTGCCTAATCAAGGGGAATGACAGAGTGCCTTTGGTGGGATTCATGCTAAATACTTCATAAATCAAATAGATTTTCATTCTAAGTGCTACACAATAAAAGCAAACTTAAAGGGGTATTTTCATCAGGGAAGTCATAAATATTTCTGTGCATTCCTTTTCATATATTAAGCATGTCACCAAAAATTAATGAACACACAAACTTTGCCTGCCTGAATTACACATATAAAATTCAAATCACTCATAAATTAATTATATTAACAAACTTTTTCCACCAATCCCCCATCCAACAAACACATCTCTATTGGACAAACCATAACTATGTAAGCTGAAATTGTAAGTATATTTTCAAAACCAGATGCACAGAATAGCAAAATTTAATAGATACTACAGAAAGATGTCTAAGCATTATTTTTTAAACAACTTCCCTTTTCCATGAATTGCAGTGATTGTCCTGGAAATGAAACTTTTCTTTTCCTCAGGTTTTTTTTTATTTGCTTGAAATCTGAATGTGGAAAAAAAAATCACCTTTCTTCTCTCTCCAAAGTCAATACCAGTATCTGCCATAATAGCAGCAGCTAACTTTGAAGGATGTTGAACACATCAATATTCTCAAAAAATCTAAGAGATATACAAAGCAAATTCAATTACTCTTATTTTAAAAGTAAAATCTGTTCTCTTCAAGAATGGTTAAAAAAAAAGAAGTGTTTTAACTAGCATATCAAAGACAGACATACATACCCAAAAAGACAAACCAGAAGAGGTAAATTATTACCCAAAGTAAATCCTTATGCAGCAACTAACAATGTTTGCATTTCTTTTCAGGTATTGTGATCAACTGTGACTCTGTACTAAAACCAGGGCTAAATGAAGCTCTCCCCTAGGTGAGGTTGTTAAGCATGAGATCCCATTCTCTTTAATATGGAAAAGTCTGTGACCACATAGGAACACATTTTTTCTGAAGTAGGTAATGGTTACTTGTTGGAATATGCAAGTTACATTCTTTGCCTGCTTTGTTGACATAATTAGATACAAGCTAATTCTGGTTCCTAACATTTAAGGGCAACTGACAAAATTTTAAGAGAGCCTTAGTGTGATTTTAACATTTGGCATCTCCCTTCACCATTTCTACATCGCCTTTTCCTGCACCAAGTAACTTCTCTCTCTCTCAAGTGTTGATCTGTGAACAACACTGTGAACTCCTCCCATAGAAAAAGCATGTTTCAATGAAAGCACATCTTGATTTATTTGACAGCTTGAAAAAAAGGAACAATAAGAAGAAACAGAACAGACCCAGAAAAAAAAAGAAGTGAGGTGAGGGAGGTCCTGGCATTTGTTATGTAGCATTCACGAATTTAGAACAGGTAGGCTGAATGCCAGGAGAAAGGAGGTCAGTAAGACCATGTGACTGCTTAGTAATTAGACTTGCTCAATAGTGCAATTACACAAAAATATTAGTCCCTGATTGTTACATGACTGTTTAAAGAAAAAAGTTAATTAGAAAGCACCTATGTGTTAAAGGTTGCTATTTACCAGATTTAACACACATTTGTTAATATAAACCATATGTGGTGACCCTGCAGAATGACAATATTCTAAGGAGAAACTAAACCTCCTGGTTTCTTGTATTCTTTCACCATTTTTCCTCATGTAGGTTGTGTTAGTCACAGTTTGACAGAGAATAGTTTTGCCCAGGGCACCAGGACAACAAACACTTGGCATCAATCAACTCAAATTAAGAAAGGACCACTGTAAATTCACACCAGGAGGTTAAATTTGACTCACCTTCCGAATGCTGAAGGGCTTCTGCTTCTAGTCTCAAATAAAATGTTTCTGACTACAACACCCTACTCAACAGGCATGTAAGAAAATTTTGATCATAGTCATCAAGTGAAAAAGAACATAAAATGTTTTTTCATTAATTATAAATGCAAATGAGATTGGCAAACCAAAAAACTGCATCATATATCTTGTGTATACTTACTGGGAATGTATGTGTCTGCAGTGGTTAAAAGCATCTCATTAAAACCACTGGAACCTAAAGTGGATTCATACCAAACTAGTAACTGTTCATTTAAATAAAAAATTATTGAGAAGGACCTTAATAAACATACAGCTTTAGCAGCCAGTTATTTTATAAAGCTACTTTACTTTTAGACTTGAAAAAAAACCTGATGATTTCACAAAACCAGGCAGCAAGATTTCCTACTCAAATCCATGTGCAGCATGTGCCTCGAGGGTATTTGAGTACCAGGAGACTGCTTGAAGTGCTTTGGACAGGAGAGTTGTAATCTACCCCAAACTCAGTCCCTCTGACCAGCAACTAAAACCAGGCATTTTTCTTCAAATGCAAAATGCAGTGGAAGGACTAGCTGCCTTCTAAAACACTGAAAACACTGTTCAAGCAAACCAACCAGCAATGCATCACACACAGATGTGCTCAAGGACTCTATTAGCAAATGATCATATTACACAGTCATTGAAGAACCAGGGCAACAGCACTGAAGACATGAACTTCCTTCTGCTAGAATCAAAGTTCACATTTGTCTATCATTCACTAGCTCAGACAATACAACCAAAAACTGTTCAGCACTTCAATTGCAGGGCACATTAGAGACCTATGAAGTATTCTTAAGACGTGATTTTCTTAACACTTAGACCTGTGCCAGTTGTCCACAATCTTTTAAAACTTAAGTAGCTGTTCATGTTTCACCCACAAAATTACGATCTCTGAGCTTATTCAGTAAGTCAAAATGTTATTAAAAAAAAACTTATCCCTTCAAAACAAAAGCAATTTAAAAGTCTCTTATAAAATAAATGAACATCATGAATCTCAGATAAGGGAAGTATCTAACAGTTATTAATAAGTTATTTTTGTCAGTGAAAATGAAATAACCATCAAGTTAAAGTTTACAAAAAGCATCTTTAGTATTTCTATCTCTTGAAAACAAGAAGATTGTAAGGAAAACCTCTCAAAATCTGAAAAATTCTAGAAACTCAGAATCTCCAAATATAAGTTACCTTGCTGGTAAAGTATAAGCTAGGATACAAATTATTAAATCTGAAAGGAGCAATCCTTCAAGAAAACACAATTGAAACATTAAGTTTCTAAACTTTGTCATTCTTCTATGACGCAGTGTTAAGATAAGTTTCATTGTGCTTGTTCCATAATTAGGCAACTTCTCAGCATTGTGGTCTGGGCAGGCTAAGTTCACTGGCATTTAAAGTTCCTGACATTGGAGGGACAGATGATACACAAACTTTACCGCATTATTAACCATTTTACAAGGGTAACAATTTTCAGATTCCTAGTGATGTTTTAACTAATCTCACATGACAAACATGCACAGAAGTTCTATTAACCTCTGCCTTATGGCACACATTTAGCATGCAAGCGTCAGCTACAGCTCCACAGTAAAGTTCATTTTTATATCGGGTAGGAGAATTACAACTGGCTTGACAGTGCAGGAACAAATCTGCACTTTCCAGAAAGGGACACTGCACACCGAGCCAGCCTGAGTTCAAGAAGCATTTAGACAACGCTCTCAGGCACACAGTGGGTTTCCTGGGGCTGTTCTATGTAGGGCCAGCTACTGGACTCCAGGATTCTCGTGGAGCACTTCCAACTCAGGATATTTTGTGACACCCTTCCGTGCAGGAACGCTACTCTGAAAAAGTACTTCTGAGCTAAGCGAGCAGCTTCAGAGTTTCTCCAGGACGGAGTCGCCCCGGGGTTCCCGGCTGCCCAGAGTTCCTGAGATGGTGCAAGCCCTCCGGGCTGCTCCGCACAGGGTTTTCCGCCCGGCAGCAACCCCGCTCTGAGCTCCAGCGCTCGGGCACTGAACCGCCGCCCTCGGGAGCGAGAATAAGCGCTCCCCGCACCGGGAAGCCACAGTCCGCCGGTCCGCACTCCGCCACGGGCTTCCCGGTTCCTTTTTCCCCGTCCCTCCCACGTGCGCCGCGGGAGCCGCAGCCCGGGCCGGCGCTGGGCTGGATATGTAACACCGCCGGCCCGCGGGGAGGGCGAGCAGCCGAGGGAAGCCGGCGCTGGCGACGGCCCAATCGGGCGCGGAGGGGAGGGGATGGCGGAGAGGCAGCGTGACCGAATACATAACGCGGGGATTAGGGCCCCCGCAGCGCCCCGCACTCACCGCCACCTGTTGATGCCCACGTTGGAGGAGCCGGCGAACCAGGGGTCCAGGATGTAGACGCAGCGCACCGTGTCGGCGCCCTGGATGCATTCCCGCAGCGCCGGGTTGTCGTGGAGCCGCAGCCCCTTGCGGAACCAGTGTACGGCGTTCACCCCCATGCCGGGTGCGGGCGCTCAGCGGGAACCGCCGCCGCCCGCGGGGCCGTTCATGGCCCGGCGCCGCCGGGCGAGCACGGACGGGCGGCGGGGCGGCCCGCGGGGCCTCGCTGCGGACGGCTCTAGGACCCGGCGGACTCGGCGGGAGCGGCCGCCCGGCGGGGACGCATCACCCCGCGGAGCCCCCGCGCCGGGGAGAGCAGGGACGAAAAGTGTGCCGCTGGAGAATTTACAGACTGCGGGGCGGTGACTGCGGGGCGGTGACGGCGCCCTGCCCGCGGAAAGCGCCGTCCGTGCCGCTGCCGCCTCCTCGCCGCTCGCCCTGTGACTGCGCGGGGCTGCGCCGGCCGCTCCGCCCCGCCCCCCGCCCCCCATTGGCCGGCGCCGTTCCCACGTGACCGCGGGCCCTCACGTTTCTGAGGTGTGTTCGCTACCGGCGGCGCGCGGGGGAGGGGAGGCCGGCCGGGTGGCCGTGGCGGAGAGGGGGCGTCAGGGGGACCCGCGACCCCGGCGGGAATTAATAGAATCACAGAATCATTTAGGTTGCAAAAGACCTCCGAGGCCAACTTTTGACTGACCACCACCATCTCAGCTAGGCCATGGCACTGAGTGCCACATCCAGCTGGTTCTTCAACACCTCCAGGGACGGTGACTCCATCACCTCCCTGGACAGCTCAGTCCAATGTTTAACAACCCTGTTGGTGAAAAAATTCCTCCTGATACCGCACGGGGCCGCGAGGCGGCTCTTGGCGGCGCCGCTTCCGCCGGGAGGCGCAGGCGCGCGCGCCCCCGAGGCTGTTATGTATCGCGGCCCGCGCGCGCCCGGGCCGTGCCCGCCGGTCCCACCGCGCACGGGCCCAGCGGCGGAAACGGGCGGGGCCCTTATGTAAGCGTGTGCGCAGGGAGCGCCCGCTGGGCTGGCCGGGCGGCGGAGGGCCATGAACGGCCACCCTGACGGTCGTGTGACGCGGGCCCAGGGCTCGTTGCTGCCCGGTGCCGCCGGGACGCGTCGGTCGAAAGGCACCCCCGCGCAAGAGAGAGCGGCTGGGCCGTGTGGCGCTGCCGCACCCAAGCAGGCTTTCAAGCAGCAGAACGAGTTAAAATGGTCCCTCTTGGAGCACCGTTAGTAAAGTCATTACTAGGTGGTGAATTTCTCACGCCTGTTAATTACAGAGCTCACAGCACCGTCTGTGTGCTGCCAACACAGCGGGTTTCCCTGGACCTGCTCCTTGGGCACGGCCAACAGCCGACGGAGGCACCGCACTGACCGGACTCGGTAGAACCCTTTGGAGCCTTAGCAGGGCAGCTCTAGCTACAGATCTGAAAATAAACCTCCACCTGTGGATTGCAGCTCAAATCCACAGCTTCACGGACAAGAGCATAGCAACAGCAAGAGTGGTCTCAATCGAATTACTGTCTCAAGTAAAAGAGTACCCAAATCAGCAGTACGGCTCTTTAACTTCAAGAATTCCAGACAGTACTTTAAGAGTCATTTTTCTTTCTCCTAAAATATTTCTTCTGCTAAGATCCACAGAAAGTAAAATCAACAAGAAGAGACACATGCATCGTATGTTTCTCTTCGTGCCTTTCTTTCCTCGCTTTGAATGACCTAATAAACACAGTAATAGAATCACAGAATCATTTAGGTTGCAAAAGACCTCCGAGGCCAACTTTTGACTGACCACCACCATCTCAGCTAGGCCATGGCACTGAGTGCCACATCCAGCTGGTTCTTCAACACCTCCAGGGACGGTGACTCCATCACCTCCCTGGACAGCTCAGTCCAATGTTTAACAACCCTGTTGGTGAAAAAATTCCTCCTGATACCCAACCTGAACCTCCCCTTGTGCAGCTTGAGGCTCTGTTCTCTCGTCCTGTCACAGCTTGCCTGCCAGATGAGGCCCCACCTGTGATTGACGATCAAGGTATGCCAAGGCCCCAGCCATGATTAGAATCACTTTCTGCTTGGTCTTACACAAAATTTCTTTTTAAAAGGTGTAGCACGTGGAGACCGAACAGTTTTTGAGCACTGATTTTAACAATAGCATAAATTATGATGAGTTTCTCAATTATCACTTGATTGTAGAAAATAATATTCCACAGCTCGTCATACTGACCCAAGAAGAACATATGGGATCCTTGCTGCAAGTCAGAGCTGGAGTAGTGGGGTCATTGTAAAGTCAAACATTGCTTTCTCAATTAATACAAAGTACGTTCTTATTTGCCTGGTAGTTTTTTATTATTATCATTATATGCCAAATATTCGGTAATTAATTTTGAAATAAATAAAAAAAAAGGAATTCAGTAGTTAATGACCACTGTCCATCAAACTCATTTGAATTCTATAATTTTTGAACACACTGAAGAAGTAGATTCCTTATTTTCAAGGAAAGTCACTTCACAACAGTTTTTATTTCAAACATTTAAATTGCTTTTTCATACTCATGTGTCCTGCTAGCTCCCCACAAGGCTGCTACACTGAAGATAGCCCTGAATAAAGTCCAGCATCAACAAATCTGCCTTCTTGGGAATACTGAGGTGGAAACAGCCCTTCCTCACTAGACATTATGGTTTCATAAACAAATTGCAGTCATGAAAACCATCAGTCTCTAAGCTGTTTGTTGCTACAGGCTAAATAACAATTGCAGTATATCATTAGCATATAGTTATGTCAAAACACTCTTTGGGTCTATCTGGCCATGCCTTCTCTGTGAGACAGTTTGTTCCTCACTCAGAAGTGAGAGAAAGAACATATTAACGTATAATTAATATTGTATTAGGATATATTAATATATAATAGATGCAGACTATATTAATTAAAATGTCAGCTCTCAAGGGAAGAGCCAGTCCAACTTAGTTGAAATAGAAAATAGAATGACAGTTAATCAAGGAACTCACACAAGTAAACCTCTCTACAGTGTTCTCATGTGAATAACTTTTTTAAACAATATTGCTAATTTAGCCCAGACGGTGGTTGCAAAAATTAAGAGACTGGGGAGAAGACAGAAGGGAAAAAAGATAATGTGAAGGCATGAAGTGAAAAAAACACGAAGAAGCAAGTGTACAGTACATTTTGTGTCACAAATTAGAAGCTATTTTTTAGATGCATGTTTTTAACATTAGTGTATGCATTACATTCACAGACTTTGTTAACTGTTCTAGGAAGAGCTGTTATTTAGGAGACCAGGCCTGAACCCTGCTCCTACAGCAAAGTTTCTTTTATAGCATTTCTCTTCTTCCTTCATTAGCTCTTTTTCACAGAGCCAACAGAGACTACTGAACATGTTTCTGACGAAAGAAGGGTTCACAGAGACAACAGCTGTGATTTTCACTCTTTGAAAGATGTGATTGTACAGACTTGGAGTCAGTTAAAAAAGCCCAGTGTTTCTAGTCTAGAAATCATTTATGTGACTATTGATTTCTATTCTAGTTGAGAAAGGTAAGCAGATGTAACTAAAAAAACATAAGATAGAGGTTCTCACCATCACAGCTCAATGAACTTCTGAAAAGCCACCAGCAAAACAATATAAGCCCAATGACTAGATGTGAATTTAATTATGTAATAAGGCAGTGGTCATATAAGGAAAATACACTGGTGTAAGGCAAGCCTCCCATCAGGATGTCAGCGTTACCGAATCAAAAGGATCATCTGCTTCCCGTCAGAGCAAAGGCACTCAAGTAGTCTGACTTTTAAATATTCCGTTCTTTGCTATTATATTACTTAGAAATTATTATAAAAATATTTTTTTCTATTCACCCCACCACTTCTCTCTGCAAGCTGCTTTAATCCAAGGGCCTTTCACTTTCCTAGCGCCGGCCAAGCCTGCTTTGGCAAGCGGCGGAGGCTCGGCCGGTTCCGCACCGGCCGGGCCCGGGCCGGCTCCCGCGGCTCCGCCCGGCCCCTCCCCTGCGGCACCTGGTACGTGTGAGCGAGGCCGGTGAGCGCGGCCGGGGGCGGCGGGCCCGGCCCCGGGGCACGGGGCACGGAGAGGCCAGCTGGCATTCGCTCGGCCCGCTCCGAGCGCCGCCGCGGCGCTGAGGGTGGGGCGGGCGGCGGGCAGGGAGAGAAGGCCGCGGTTCCGAGGGAAGCGCGGCGGGGGCGGGACCCCGCGTCGGCCGCCGGTGTCTGCGGCAGGAGCGGCACGCGGGGCGGGATGGGCCTGCAGCCGCTGGTCCCGCGCTGGCTGCAGGAGAACATCCGCCTCCCGCCTCTCCGCCCCCAAGCGGGGTCCAAAGGGTGGGAAAGGGACGGCCCCGGTGGCCGGGCTGTGGGAGCGGGCTGTGCTGGAGACCCTTGTTTTGTCTGTGCTGAAAGCACCACCGCTTAATGACCCGTGGTTTAAATAGTGCTGCGTCCTTAAGCCCTTTCCAAATGTCTTTCCTTTCCTGGATGTAAGAAGAAGCTTTGTCCCCATCAGGAGGTTGAGCAGTGGAACAGGTAACTCACAGAGGTCGCCGGGCTCTATCCATGGAGGTTTTAAAGACCTGACTGGACAAAGCAGCCCGGATCCTGCAGACCCTGCTTTGAGCTCTTGAGGTCCCTTCAAACCTGGATTACTCTAGGATCCTCTATATTTTTTTTTTTTTCTAGAAAGCTTTATGTTGATCTAGCATGTATTTTATAATAATTTACCTAATTTCCACCACTAATGCAAAGCACGGATTCATTTTTTGTAAGTGCATAAGTGTGAACATTTACTGTGCATTAATCTACAAAACTGCAACCTGTCACCACCCCAGATTCCTTCACAAACCATTTAAAGCCTGTCTACACTGCTCTCTTCTAGACAGATACCTACTCTTCTTGGTTCACTCTAAGTTCAAGCTAGGCATTCAGTGTATACATATATATATTCAGCATATATAATTCTTTATAGCCTATTAAGTATCCTGTTATGAGAAAGGTAGTGGTCAGCAGTCATACTGTTGCCCTCTTTACTGAAAGATTTTGTGAACAATCCAGCATGAGTAAAAGTTTGAGTTTGCCAATTTTCAAAAAGTGATATTTGAGTCTCAAAACACACATTCAGAAATTCACGAGGGATAAATCAACCAGTTGACCCTTGTATCTATTTCCTATAGAAGATTTACATAGAAGTCTCATTCAGCAATGAAACTTACAGCACCCCTTTACTCTGTATGTTCAGGTCTGCAAGTGTGCTAGCAAGCAGGATCACAGGTAACTTTGACATTAGGTCACTTCCTTATTGCTGTTCTAACACTTGGTGTGAGAGGGTGCTGCTGGCAGTGAGAGCAAGCGTCTTCTCTGAGCTGGCTGGGCTCTTTTTTTCCTTAATCTCCCAACTGCTTTACAATCCCCACAGCAATCTGGTTATGTGAAAAGTTACAGTGGGGTCTTGCACATTAGAACATGCATTAGATCCAACAAGAGCATTGAGAGAACTCGGAATTCTTGAAAGCAGTTACATACCTGAAATGTAAATACTGTCACCTATGGACTTGGAAATCCATCAAGTCATAACTCAGATCTTCTTGGTTTCTACAGAACACCATGACATTCAAATTCATTCATGTTATTTCGTATGTTTTATTTTGCATAGGGCTTTTTCACAAGGGCTCTTAAATACCCCTGTTAACTGAGTTTTGGCACATAAACTTTTCCTTTCTTTTACACTGTTCTGTTTCTGGTGATCCTCACTAAAACAGGGAAAAACTGACTATGATCCCAGGCATTTTTAGAAAATGCAAAGTTTCTTTTATGTGAATGTAACAACCATTCCTGTGTCAGATTTTAGAAGAGCACAATTTACTATCTCAGAATATTTTTAAAGTTCTGTAATAGTAAAAATTACAGTATTTTAAGGGACTGCATTACTCACAAGGCAATTTTATTTAACAGCAGGATTATGCATTTAAGTAAAAGTAAGTCATAGTTATTTTTCCAGTTTGTACTTTGGAAATATTATTTGACATCCCAAACAATTTTAATAACACTTCACTTTGCTTGCTGCTTCTAGCTAAGCTGAAGCATTAATGAAGAAAACCCTGATCCTTCAGAGATTGGCTTATTCTGACTGGACCCACTAAACTCAGTAAAACTACTCAGAGTGCACAGACACAGGCAGTTGTGTCACTCCTGTGGAGGAGAGGTTTAGTTTGCAGTCACGTTTTCAGGACATGGAAAGGTCAGCACACAAAACATCTGTGACTTACCTACACTTCCAGTGCTTTTAGGGTTACTGTGAAAAATCACTTGTTCTGTTGTGGGGCTTGAGACAGCTTTTCTGAAGTCACAAGGTGTATGAAGACAAAATCATCAGCCTTGGGATTCTGGTACAAGCAGCACATTAGGCAGTTGGTTTTGCCTTAGATGTGTGAAATAACACTAAAGAGCAAGTTATCAATAAACAGGTTCTGTTAAATAGCATAAGTGTGCATATAGGAAATGACATCATATTCTCTTTGTTTTTTTTCCTGCTCCTGAGATGAACTATTGTTATTACATCATAAACTATCTCAAAGCAAGGGTACACTCTCTTGAGACAAAGGATTTACCTCTGGAAAATATTCAACCTTACGTGGCAGCTAGAAAGAGAATCTACCAC